TTTTTCCTCCTTTTACTACTTGTTCTTCCCAACTCTTCCCTCGTCTCACACCTCCTCATCCTTCCACTGCGAGTGATTCTCACTAAAATAAAAACTAAACAGAGAAGAAGAAAGCAGAGGAAGCGAGCGCTGCTTCCTTCCCCCGAGGCGGCGTTCCTCATTATGCGGCGAGCAGAGCGGCCCTTTACTGACTCAGACAGATGAAGCAGATACAACACTCGCACAGATTGTTTTCTCTTGTCGTTTCTCCACTCCCTCCTCCTTCCCCTTGCCCTCCCCCGTTTCCGTCTTGTTCTCATACTAATGTTAACTAAACGCTTTGTAAAACAGGATCTCTCGGGGCGTGGAAGACGAGAAAACAGACAAATCGGTGAGGAAGGAGCGACGTGGCGGCACTGCGGGGCTGCGTTCAACACCGGGACAGTTATGGAGCGTTTGAAGTGTCAGGTTTGCTTTCTGTCACGCGGCGCTGACGGAGCGCGTGGGAGTGTTACGGAGAGCCGCTCTGACATTCAGTCACTTGAGGAAACTCGAATTATAGGAATCTATTATTCACTTATAGCTCGTCATAATTCCAGTCAACACTGGATATAATAAAATGTAGCAGGTGTCATGTGAAATTGTGCAAATCTAAATATTGGAGAAGGATATTGATACCTACATTAGTTGCGGAGACATTTCACAAAGTAAATATTAAGTTATAATGGCTCAAAATGTAATTAAAGTGAGTGTACTGCAGTTGAGCATTGACCATCATACTCAGTTTGAAGTCCAGCTCCAGCTGTGCGTGGTATGACGCTGTGCCCAGTGGGGAGTCGGTCAAAAACTAGTTACACTGGGAGGCTCCCAGTTGGACTGTGGACACAAGGTGAGGATGGTGTTTGGTGTTTCTCCATTAAAAGTTAAAGAGTGGTTGACTGAAAATCTGTTTCACTCTCTGCTTTAAAAGTTACAAGTCTGTTGCACCTTTGACCACGGATGGGTGTGGTCGGATGATGTCACGGTGTGCTGACACAGTGTGGAGTACACTTCCACATCACCGCAGCAAGGCGGGGGGGTAAGTAAAACCACAGAGGTCAGCAAAAACAGGGTTTTCAGTGAACCCAAAAAACCTCCGGCAGGATTTAAAAGCATGTTATATTAAAATAATCGCCAAATCTACAACATTTATCACAACCAGAAACTGTAAATAAAAAGTCATTATTGTCAGATTTTCATCTTTCCGACGATCAACACATCATGTGTGACAAACGCCTGTCAGAAAAAGCAGCTAAAACTAAGCTTAAAATTGTGATATCTCATCAAAAACATTGTATTCTACATGTCTCATTTAAAATGTCGCCCCAAATAAACATTTTGTATTAACCAGATTCTGTAAAATACATTCTGAGCTCATCGGTGCAACTACGAAGCCGTGATGACTCAGTTGAGACCAAAATTTCGTGAAACTTCGACTGAACTGCTGCTGAACAGAGAGCAGAGAGAAGAGGAGGGGTTAGAAGTAGAGGTTGTAAAAATACAAATAGTTCAATATATAAAGCACGGAGAGCCTCCATTATGTTTTCCAACATTGGTAACACTTGGAAAAATGTTGGATATTTAGATTTCATTGCTTTCTTTTTGTAAAATAAATTATCCATTTTTTCTTTTTTGATTGATGTCATTCTAACTGTGTTATTGTGCACTAAAGACATGTTCTGGTTCTCTCTACTTCTAGCCATGGCTGCTCTGTTTCCATAGAGGAGCAGGACTTTTATGTTACAGTGAGAATCAAGACCCCACAGAGTGAAATGTGACAGGAGCAAAAAAAAGCCCCAAAACGACTTGGTGCTCAGAGGGTTAAGTTGCTCCATCTGTGTTTGTTTGTATTTTCAGAAATATTCTTGTTATTTTATCAGGACTTGGGATGCGTCCGGAATCGCCTACTATGCACTACGTACCTGAGCAAATCGATGATTTGTGAGGTCTGAACTAATTAAAAAAATATATTGAAGTAAATTCATATACTTCCATTGAAGCGTTATTGACGCTGCAGAGCCATCTCTCTTTGTCTGTTATGAATGTTGTCGAATGAAGGTCAAAGTTCACCCATGAACTTTACTTTGCCCATGAGCAACACTTCTAATTGCAGAGATTCATTAGAATAAAGTGAATTTGCAGCAGAATTTTAAATGCTGAAGTGACCTTTATTCTGTCGGTTGTTTACACTTTTATGTATTTTTTTTCTGATTATGAAGCACTTTGTGTCTTTGTTTTGAAAAGTGCTACACAAATGATCATAATTATTATCATAATTACCTCAGACTGAATGTATATTTTTTGATAATGACCAGGTTTTAGAGCAGACCTCTTGGTGCTCAGTACACTGTTGGTTAAAACACATGCAGTCCAGTCAGACTTTAAATCGAAGGATTTGCCATAATCCTCCACTTTCATCTCTCTCTCTCTCTCTCTCTTTTCATCACGTCCCAATACTTACCCCTCTCTCTCTCTCTCTGCTGCTGCAACGGCGATAGCAGCTGTAACCACTGTCTCTAATTCATCATCCGCCATACAGCAGAAGGGGGGAAGGAGGAAGAGAAGGGAGTGGGAGAGAGAGGAAAAGAAGGAGGAAGGGGTAAGAGAAGAAGGAAAGTGGGAAATGACGGGGGGCAACAGGAAAGAGAAGAGGAGAGGGCGGTAGGAAAGGTGAGAACAGGTGGGAAGAAAGTAGAGGAGTCAGAGTCGAGAGAGAACAGTAAAGAGGAAAATGGAGGAAGATGGCAAAAGAAGACAGAGAAGAGAGAAAGGAAGTAAACAGAGAAAAGGGCGAGAGGAAAAGGAAACATTAGAATTGGGAAGCGAGAAACAGAGATAAAAGTTAAGAGAAAGAAATGAGATAAAGGTAAAACATGAATGAAAAGAAGACAATAGGAAGGACGGTGAGGATTTTGAGTAAGAGGAGGAAAGGAAGGAGAGATTGAGGGAAGGGGGAGGAAATTAAAGGTTGAATGAGTCATATTGGCAGCCGTCACCTTTCAGTCAGAGACTGTTGGATTTATGAGGTGATTCACTAACACTCGTCTTTTTTCATCCTGCAGAGACACTGAAACCAAACCATCAGTGAGCAGCTTCACAGCTCCACCTGCTGTCATTCATTCATTCATTCTAATGGGTTCATCCTGCAGAGACACTGAAACCAAACCATCAGTGAGCAGCTTCACAGCTCCGCCTGCTGTCATTCATTCATTCATTCTAATGGGTTCATCCTGCAGAGACACTGAAACCAAACCATCAGTGAGCAGCTTCACAGCTCCACCTGCTGTCATTCATTCATTGATTCATTCTAATGGGTTCATCCTGCAGAGAAACTGAAACCAAACTGTCAGTGAGCAGCTTCACAGCTCCTCCATTTAATAATACATTTGTGTTTTATTCCCCAAAGACATTAAAAAACATATCAGTTTGGATCATTTTTAATATATAGAAAATTGGTAAAAAACCTTTTAAAATAATTAATAGAATGATCCAATTTATTGATCTGGTAGTTATTTCTTCTAGAAGACTTAACATTATATTTAACTTGATTACTAATCAATGAAAATAAATGATTCATATGTAATACAAGTAGTTAAGTATTGAGGTTTTTATCTGCTTTTTAAAACCAGAAGATGTAAAAGAGCAATGTTTCTTTTCTCTCTCTCTCCCAATTAAATTTATTTTGGCTTAAATTCAGAATTGAGGTATTTTGCGTGAGATCAGTAAATAATTCAGTCTGACCTTCATTTTCTTTACAACTGAACCAAAACCAGAAATCTCAACTGAGCTGAACTCACAGCAGAAAAAGAAAAACATGTAACATCCAATTATTTCCAAACTCATCCCACACACCGCTGCACTGGACACACACACACAGACACACACACAGATGTAAATCAGCTAATATATGAATAACCAATTACTGTCCAATACATTCGAAGTAAATTACTGAAACATTACACTGCAGCCACAGAGGACTGAAAAACACAAACACAAACAAAACAAGTGTTTTCCTTCACAAGTGCGTGCGTGTGTGTATGTGTTTTCTCGCTGTGTATGTAAAGCACTTATATTTCTTTAATTTAAATCACAGAAGACAGCGCAGTGCTGCCAAAACTGCAATTTATGCTCAATCAAAACAATGGATTGTTCTGTGTGTGTGTGTGTGTGTGTGAGGACACACCACATCCTTCATGTAAGTGACTGTGACGACACCAAGAAACTCTGGAGAACACAACATACTACAGACTCAGAGTGAACAATTTAAGCTTCAGTTTTCATTTGCATACACACGACTTTGTGCATATTTTCATTGAATGTGTGTGTGTGTGTGTGCGCGCGCTCTGAGTGTGAGTGATAACCGCGGAGGGAGGCTCCTCAAAGTCGGGGATGAAACACCAACAGGCAGCGTGACCAAAGACGGCGCTCGCCGAGCCGAGTCTGGCCACACCAGATTACTGCTGTTAACACTCACACTCTGTGTGTGCATGATTACATTCTACTGTGTATGTGTGTGCGTGTGTGTGTCACATGTTATTGTGTCTCGCTCTTGTTTTGCTCTTCTTCTTCGTCTCTATATGTATTGATGCTCAGAGAACACTCTTGTCATTGAGGGCATCTGACGTAGATGAATGGATAAATCTTTGTTCACACCTGAAGGACAACCGCAGTACTTTACATGACCACACCAACAGATGCTGTTTTATGTGACAAACATTTCTACGAGGAACTTTAATTTGGTGTTGATTCTGTCGCCCCCTGTGGACTAAAGTGGTAGTGTCTCTGAGCACAAGAGTCCCTTTAGAAAACCTCTCATTCTACTGCAGCAGGGTCTGACAGTCTGCCCCTCTCAGTCCTGGTTCTGGTTCTCCCGTGCCTCCCTTCCCTCCAGCAATACATCCTGGGTCTCCAGCAGAGAGCAGAATCTCTGCTCCTGGAGGAGGAGGAGGAGGAGGAGATGCTGCTGCTGCCGGGAGCGGAGCTCTCCTCCGGAGCTCCGGATCTGGGTGTGTCCACGATGGACCGGTCTCTGCTGGAGGATCTGGGTCTGTCCATGGTGGACCGGTCTCTGCTGGAGTCTGAGCTGAAGGAGTTTCTGGTGAACCTGCATGAGTTCATCTGGTTTCACCAGAATCCGACCCGGTGGCTCCGATGACGAGCATTAAGAATAACTCTATAGAAATAGACCATCTTCTCTCTGATGGTCTCTTTACTGATGGAGGTCTGATAGAGGATCAGGACTAAACTGACACTGGTTATAGAGGATCAGGACTAACTGAGACTGGTTCAGGACCAGATAAAAGTTCCTCACAGTTACTTCAATTTGATAGAATCAGGTTGGTTGTTGGGTCAAACAAACACAGGACTTTCACTCAGGGGACCGGCGTTCGTGTCCGTGTGAAACCAAAGTAGTGACGACGTTACACGAGACGCTACATCACGGAGTCACATGATGTTAGGTCTGCAGCTGACATTACGTTACAAGTACGTAACGCAAACCTTTAAGATTTAATTCAGGATCCACTACAGTGACCGGCTTCTGCCTGAGTGGGAGAATATGAGGAGTTGGGATGAGATCAAGTCTAACGTAGACGTACCTGTTGTTCCTCGCCAGCTGACTGTAGTGCCTCCTGCTGGCCGACGAGGGGTAGTGCAGGCTGCTCAGCTTTACGGCCATCTGCTCTGCCAGGGCGGCTCGCTGGGCTTCACACTGCCCGGGGATCAGCTCAGCCTGGAAGACACAGAGCAGGACATACGGGCGTCAATCACACGACATGCTGTAGATATTCATGATCCCCAACACGGAGGCTGTGGTTACTAGGAAGAGTTCACAATCAAACATGTTTTATTAGTTTTTATTTTTGTAATTGTCGTCTGGCTAAACCTTTATATCTTATTGACCTTTTCTTTAACACCACCTATGGGACAAACAGAAACAGCGAGATGTAATGAACGATGCAGCCTGTAGGGGGGGCTAACAGCAGCTTTTGAAGATTCATCAGTTTAAATAAAAAACAACTGAATCTGAACCATTTTAGTCATTTTCAAGAGTTGGAATAATGTTTGGTTGCAAAGATCACTGCTACGAACATGAAGAAGAATATAAAAGTTCAGTCTGGTCTCATCCAGTGTTTGTTCTTCCACGTAATTATGAATGAAGAAGTACAAAGAACGCAAAAGCCCACACAGGAAACTAGAAGTTAACAATGGTGATTTTGTCTCGTGACGTTCGTACTTCAATAACGGCATTTCTCACATATATGTGCGATGCTGACGGGTTAGTGGAACTTTTCACTTCACAGTCAAACGACTTAATTTGCTTCAGTGTTCCCTCTAAAACAGACGACTGTGCACACGCCGGTGAAAGCACCGGCGCACGTGCAGCGTTGTCAGGTTCCGGTTCTGGTTCCGACTGTAACAGCAACATTTAAATATGACGAATGCAACACATATGAAAAAAAAACATGTATTTTGAGATGCACGTTTTGCTGTTTAATGTCCTTATTTCTGATATAGCAACTGACGGCAACCAAAGGCCAAGAATCGGTTGCAAACCGATGAGCCCTGAATGTCGTTGGAGCAGAATCGGAGTAAAGCAGCCCAGCGACCTGATGGTGACGTCCTACCCGTCAAGTCGTGTCGATTAGCTGTTTATTGTGGATGGATGAGATTCAGATGTGCCATATTTTTTGACGGACGCGGCCTTTAAAGCCCCACGAGCGGCCAACAAGCCACTAGAAAAGCACTCCACGCTTATCCTGCGCTCTCATCTCGGCTAACGGACACACACACACACACACACACACACACACACACACACACAC